AAAAAAAAAAAAAAAAAGTGACATTTGGGAGACTAGTCATTGCCTGGTTTTCTCCTGTGTGACAGCAATGCCAGCATCATCTGAGAACGGCTTGTGTTGTGGGGACATGATGGGGACTGGTGACAGCTCCAGTGTGCCAGTTACTGAAACAGAGAAATCTCCTGCCGTCATCAGAGCCTCTGCCTGGGATCTCCCTGGATAGATGGTGCAACCCAGGACAAAAAGGTTACCTCCATGAATACATTAGATGCAAAGATTATTTCTTCCTCTGCTTTTTTTTTTTTCTTTTTGGAATTCCTTAATACTGGTCATAATATCTTCTGAAATGTGTAAGAAAAAAATCATCTCCCCTTGGGTTGGAACAGGGAAATCTCTATGTTAAAGTGGCATTCCCGAGAGAATTGTAGAATATTTTAAGAATTGAACTGCTTAAATACTCTGTGACAGCACAAAAGCCATTTGTCATATGAATCATATTCTAAACAAAGGCCTTCTTTAGAGCCATAGCATTGAATTTAGTTTTTGGTGACTCATAAATTCTTGTAGTCAGCAGTTGAAGATGCCCTTTCGGAGGGCAGTTCTGCCCGAGGGGTGGCACTGTTGAGGGATGACCTCTTTCTCTTGTTTCTCAATAGGATCTCAGGGACAAAGACCTCATTTCACAGCTCTAAACTTCAAGCTGACAGGCCGCTTCCAGGCGTGGCTTCACCCAGCTGGGTTCTCTGAAGGAATGACCACAGGGAACACGAGAGCTCACACAGGACCACTGTGCCCGGTGACCTTGAAATAATCCCCGTGGTACGAATGGGATATGAGGCTGGGTGCTTGTCATGGGACAGGAGGACCAAGTCACGTCTTTGCCCACCCCTAAGCATCAGTGCTACACAGTGGACATACTTCAGATCATTTCGGGTTGAGGATTCTCATAGTGATGAAGGGAAATGTTTTGCTCAAGACTGGAGTGAATTCAATCAGTCAGATCTGTCTACAGACCTGGCCTCGCTTTGGGACACCTTGATTTGAAGAGGTCTGAGACCCCTGGGCTGGAGGGAGGGGTAGTGACCGAGCCCCATCCAAACACTTTTATCAGCAGTGTTAATATTGTTTCCTGTGTAGGAACAATCCTGAAGACTCCCTCTTTTTCTGGGATACCCTGGGAACATCTGGAGAAGAGAAGATAGGATAACATAACCTTCACTGGATGTTATTCATTCATTTAGTTACTCACGTTCTTGTTCAGTAGTCAAGCCAGTACTAGGACTGCCTGGTAAGTAGCAGTTGTGGTGCTGGCTGCTGAGTGCCAAGAATGGCAGCAGGAAATGAGACAGATGCGGTCCCTGCCTTTGGAGAATTTGCTTTCTAGTGGAGGGAGATATAAAAGAAACGTTAAGTTAATCAGACATATCGTGGCTAGTAAGAGTTATAAAGGACATAAGACAGGTTAACACTATAGAAATTGTTTGGGGTCTGGGGAGGTCTGCTTTAGCTTAGGACTCTCCTCTTCCCTATTTGAACAGCAGGATGAATCCAATCATGTGAAGACCCAAGGGATGAGAATTCTAGGCAGCGGGACCATCACATGCAAAGGCCCTGTGGTAGGATTATGGCAGAACTGTGTTTGAAGATCAGAGAGAAGGCCAGTGGGGCAGAGCTCAGAGGGCAGACGTGGGTGTGCTGGGAGGTGGGGGTGGGGCAGTGAATAGGAACTTGATTAGAGAGGACGGCAAAGGCTGGATGGTGGAATGCCTTGGGTTTTAGGCTTCTGAAAGGGCTCTCGGAGGTCATCAGGTCAGTCTTTAAAATTGCCTTCCCTAGAGACTTCAGTGTCATCTGAAGTCCAAGGGAGCAGCAGAAGGGGCAGGGTCCTGCACCATCCCCCCAAGTCCCCACTTTCTAGTTCACATGCCTTGGAAGGTTAATGTGAGGCTTAAAATCAGACATCATGTGAAGAGCTTGGTGCTCAATATACAGCTAACATGGGGCCATAAGCGGTCCTCCAGGGGGAGCTCATGGCAGCTCCTAAGCCAGGACCCTGTGGTGGCCCCACACCCTGTCATTGCAGATTCCACTGAAACCACAGCATGGGCCACAGCTGGGGCAGGCCAGCTACACTTACACTGTAAGATGTTACAGGGACACAGTGTTTCATAATGTTGAATGAATACTGAGAACAGTTTCCCCCTTTCAATTCTCTTTCAATCCTGATAAAATCAAAGTGAGGGTATTATTATAGCTCTAGCCCTTGCTCACCTAACTTGCTTTCACTTTTTTTTTTCATTTTAGTGGTGAGAGTATAATCTTAGGGTTAGTGTACTTGGCAGGCAACAGTATCTTACCAGACTAACATTGGTATTATTGTTTAGTTTTCATTGTACTTATATTTTTTATCTATTACTAGTTTCCTATTTTTGAACTCAATATAAAGATTTACTTTAAAATAAAGGGAAAAAGTGAACTTGTTTTAAAAAGATAAGAATTTGTATAAGCAATGTAAGATGTGACAAACATTGTGATGACAGGTGACTGTCATCTACAGTCTACAGTCTACACAGGTGACTGATGAAAGGGCGGCCCCATGGAGTATCCATCCCTAAGCCTTGTCTCAGGCCTACTTTGGGCTGTCACAGCCAAGCAAAGCTGATCAAACCATCACCTGTATGTGTGCTCTCATTCTGTCACCTCCTCTAAGGCCCATGCGTACTACCCTCTAACCCAGTGGGGTCTGGTCAGGGTGACAGGAAAGGGCAGTGGAGGGCACAATAGCTTTCAAGTTAAGACTCTAACTTGCAGGCAGTAAGACCCTCCCCGGCCGGGTTCAGTCAGCTCCTGGCGTCCCATGGGCTTCTTGCTTTCCTGGTCCTTTCCAGGGCCAGGCTTGCCTGTGAGCCTCCGCACCTGCCCCAGGTCTCCCGCCTGGGCGTTCGGTCAGCTCAGCTTTCCCTGACCTTCCCCTGGTCGGCAGCTCTCACTTCCCTAATGCGCTCAGCACTTTCAGCTGTTCTGTGATAGTCTCAAAGGGCGTGGAGATGAGAGCTTTGCTGAAAATGTGCATCTTCTGCAGAAAAGGGCCACAGAACACTCAGAGAGGAAAAGGACAAAAAGATCAAAGTGGTTTTGGAACAGAAGAGGGAAGGAGGGGCTATAAAATTTGAATGAAGAGCCTAGAAGGAAAGAAGCAGGAGAAAGGAGGCAGCTTTGCTCGGTAGTTAAAGCTCAGAGGGGAGAGGTGATGACAGCAAGGATGGAAGCCCTGTAAGTTATGGGGCTGCTTAAAAACGAAAAGTATTAACGTGATTCTGATCAAAGCATCAAAACCTATCACAGTGTTGATCTCATGCACCGCCTGGTACGACAGCATTTCTACCTGTGACAGTGTTTCCAGGGCTCCTTTACCCTCCCAGGTGTCCGTCCTTATGCCTCCTCCTCCCTGAAGTCCTGCTGGATTACACCACCTGAAGTAGCAATCTCCTCTTTCTGTAGCCCTGATCCTGCTGTGG